AGAGAGACAGACAGACAGAGAGAGAGAGAGACATAGAGAGAGAGAGACAGACAAAGAGAGAGAGAGAGACAGACAGACGGACAGAGAGAGAGAGAGACAGACAGACAGACAGAGAGAGAGACATAGAGAGAGAGAGAGAGAGAGAGAGGGAGGGTTGATTACATTCGCTGGAACAAAGTGTGAACATGAATGTCATTATTTCATTTAGTGACCATTAGGTAATGGGCTTGGGCTTGAACACTCGTTTGAAGTTGCGCAGACATGTAGGTGTTGAGAGAGAGGGTTTACGTAACCAAAAGTTCCCAGACCTAGTCTTCAAAACACCCACGATACCCACTGAAGAGATGCTCAAAGTGATACAGAAGCTCCTACCTGCCGACTCATTGAAAGTCACGGCGGATCAGAGAAAAGCCTAGATGTCGAAAATACAAAAGTAAAACTCTGGAGGTATTAACAGAACATCCTCAGGCCAAAAGCAGCCACTGCATGACGTTAGGAGAAACTCCTAAAAATAATGTACACGACAGTCCTAACTTTGAGATTGCTAAGTTTAAAATTACGACTCTAAAACAATGCAAACATCTAAATAATTCAATACCAATACTGAACGATCCATCCATCATCTTTAACTGCTTATCCTGTTCATGGTCGCGTGGGGGCTGGAACGAAGGCAGCTCTCCAGACCCTCACAGGGCTGACATATAGAGACATTCACGCTCACATCCTACGAGTCAGCAATTAACCTAAGCTGCAAGTCTTTGGACTGTGGGAGGAAGTTGAAGAACCCACGCTCTCACGGGGAGAACATGCTAACGCCACACAGAAGGCTCGTCCTCTTGCTGTGGGCTGCACGGTGCTATCACACCCCCGTGCAGCCCACAGGCTACAGCAAAATCCTTAAACATCAGCCAATTAAATCAAAAGCAATTAAATAATAGATGAAAGAACATTGAGTTTAAAATTATTTTTTATTTATTAATTAAAACTGTAAAAATTTGTTTAAGAAAAATTTGACATGATCTACAGTAATCATCAGTAACAGTTCAGACAGAGAGTGGAACCGCAGGACGGGAGAACACGAGAGGCTTCCAAAACAAAAACCCAGAAAATGAGATGAAAGATGAAGCTGATGAGAAGCTGATGAGGGATCAGCTGCTAGAATCAGGAAGACACCACGGTAGCTGTAGAAAGTGACGTGTCGTGTCGAGGGCCGTCCCCGACCAAAGAACTTCTTAGTTGACCAACACTGATCGATTAGTTGATTTCATTTCTCCACAAAGAATCACACAAAAGCACCACTTTAAATCTTCTGTTTACCAGAAATGTGTTCATAAACTTCTTGGAAATAAGTGATTCAGCATGAAATAAGTTGACAGAAGACATCTTAGTCGGCTAAGACTAAAACGACCATTTTGTCGACTAAGAGGGGGCAGCCCTAATGTGTCAGAGTGCTGTTTGTGAATGTAAAGAGATTCTGTTTTTTGTGTCCATCCACTGAGATTACTGAGAAACACTGTAAAGGTTTTTTAAAGGTTTTTTAAACGGACTTCTGCTGATACAGACACCGGCTCAGAGCAGGACTGTGCAGCTGCTGAGCAGTTCATGACCTGCTTTACTCTTCTTTTCATTTTCATTTGTTGACTCCATCCGTCTGGTTAGAGCGACCTGCAGTTTTATTTTAACTTCCCACTCCAGCAGAGCACACGCAGGCGCACACACACACACACACACACACACACACACACACTGCACCACTGTCCCACACGTGACACAACTCATAGAAAATAACCTACAGCACTTATTGAAAGACTCCTTCTTAAAAGTAGCGAATGTGCTCACCATGAGGAAGAGCGGCTTGTTGATGTTGGACAGGATGTGGACGGAGTTGGTGGTTACGGACTGAGCTCCGGCACACCAGGCCAGAGTGTAGAGCCACGGCTGGCTGATCACATACAGGTTGGTGCTGATGTTCACCGACTGGTACTTACTGGAGAGAGAGAGAGGAGGGGGGGGGGAATTATTTCACTACCTACGTGTATATTGATGTTTTTTCTTCAGCAATGACTATTTTAACAGAGAAAAAACTGAATAATTCGTATTTTTTTACATGTGAAATCATTTTCGCCGCAAAGGAAAAAGAGTGAAAAGATTCAAACTTCAATCTAGCTGACGGGAGAGAATACTGTTGAACTTGGATGTAGTCTTCAGTGATCCTCCATCTTTACTGAACTGGGCTGTAAATATTGAGTGGGTGTGTCTTTCTTTGGGCCCTCTGCAGTCTACTCAGTGGTTAGATTGAAGAGCTTTAAACTGGGATTTCTCAGTTCATAGCATAATATTCCAACAGTGCTTTTGTGATTATTAATCTATTTTATTTTTGTTTTAATATAAAAAACAATTGAAATATAATTTCATAATTGTACCTAATTTAGCCTCATTAGGATTAGGAGGAAAGGGTGGAGAGGAGGAAGAGAGTGGTATTATTCATCACAATGACAGTATTGAATTCCCCTCACTCTGAAACACACACACACACACACACACACACACACACACACACACACACACGCACACACACACGCACGCACGCACACACGCACACACACACGCACACACACACACACACACAGGTATCTCTCTCTGTATGCCTGGCAGATTGTCGGGATGAAAGCGTCCTTTGAAAATCTAATGACCATCTGTTGAGAGATACAGAAATTGTTCTTTGCCAGGTTGTCCAGCCTGGAGTTGTATAATCCCCAGGAGTTGTATAAACTGGTTATTATTATTTCTGAAGGGTTCAAAAGAGCTCATTTCAAATGGTGCGATTTCATCTTAATCAAAAGCTGTTGATACAGCGAGGAGCCCCAGCTGCAGCGAGCAATAGAAGCTAACTCTGTTTTGCACTAAAAGCTATGCATATATTTTACCGTAGCTAATTGGGTTTCATTTGGGACGCACCAACACTGATATCAGTTATCGGGCCGATACTGATTAAAATAGCTGAATCAGGTATTGTGGTGAAAAAAGTCAGGTTACCTTATACATAGGGATGGGTATCGTTTGGATTGTTTCCGATACCGGTGCTAAAACGATACTTTTAAAACGATACCGGTGCCTAAACGGTGCCTGAACCGATACTTTTTTCTTCAAATTGAACAATATATTAACTGCTTAAAGTATACTATAAATATAAATAAATACAAAACACTTGGCTTCAAACTACAGCTTCAAACTTTTAAACTTCAAACTATGAACAATATATTAACTGTTAACAGTTTACAGTATACTTAAATAAATATAAATAAATACAAAACACACACACACACACTCTGTACACACACTACAGCTTCAAACTTCAGCAATTCTTTTGCAGAAATATGAGCATATTTGCCTCATATATTGCCTTCTCTGGCAAAATACGACACGTCTCATGACTTGTTTTATTTTACCAGTTGGTGGCGGTAATGCGCCAATTCGTCGTTTGCCAACCGCCACTACACCTCAAAGAAGAAGAAGAAGAAGAAGAAGCGTTCGCGTGCCTGTGGATGTTGTGCTTATGGGCGCCAGCGCTAAGTACCCCGTTGTAATAATACTATGAGTGAGGAGCGGAGGACCGAGGCTATCGTTACCTGCTGCCAGGACGGAGTCATCAGAGTCGTCTAAAAAAAGTATTTCAATCGGCTCAGGCACCGAAAGGAAGCACCGAAATCTGCGTTGCGTTTCGGTCCGGTAGATACCGGACGTATAGGAACCGGTGCCATATTGGCACCGCTTTTCGGTACCCAACCCTACTTATACATAAAATAATGATCCCAGTCCCCTCCACACAGCGAGGCATACAGCTCATTAATGAAACACCGGTACCTGATCGGTACTCACAGGTATCAGGATCAGGACTGAAAAAGTCGGATCGATGAATCTTAATTTTTTTTTTTTAATTATTTGTGCTTTTTTAATTTTGTAATTTTTATACCATCCACTTTTACAGACTGCTATGAAAGATGAATATGAACATGTAACATACTGTATGGGTCAATAGATTTGACTCTTTTCAGTCATTGTGGTCACCTTGTAAATGGTCCACATACAATGTAAGGCAGAGTACACAAAACATGAAGCTTGAACCATGAGGTTGGTGGTTTGGATCCCCGGCTCCTAATGCTTAGGTTGGGCTCAGGGCAGAGGTCAAATTTGGTGCAGGTACCTGTATATGCATATGACAATTCTCTAAAGTTTACTCTTTTAGTGTATGCTTACGAATTGTATCATGACAAAAACAAAGAAACAGCACCGATACTGATCAGGTGTATCGCACAGTGTATCCTACTTTTAATTAAAATGTCAAAGTTTACAGTGGTGTGTTTTTATAAACTGGTATCTAAATGAAAGCCTGTAAGTGAGAAAAGGTCTTGAATGATCCAACTCGACAGTTTGTCCTTTAGAGACAGAAAAGAATCACCATGTAATGTTTAACACAACCCTCTGATTACAATAATAACAAAAGTGCTTCAGAGCACAACTCTGAGACAACTGTTACCCCACAATGTAACACCATGATTCATCCAACCGTTGGTGAATAATGTGGCGCCACGGAAGCTGATATTTCCATGTTTTCAATGAGATATTGCAGAGAAGATAAATCACCAGCAACAAGGGGAACTGTGTGAGTTGTGTTAAAAAAACATGTCAACGTGAGAGTCACTCAACCATCTTTCTCTTCAGATTGTTCTCCCACAGCTTCTGGTTATGTACAAGTGCTAAACCTCCCACTCGTTTCTCTGGTAGGCCTGCTACTCATCTCCTCTCGTACCCTCTTCTCTTCTCAACCAACTCTCTTCATTTCAACTCCCATCTGCACCCAGTGTGTACCTGTGTGTACCTCCTCCACTGCTTCTCCTCACTTCGACCACTTCTTTCCTCTGCTGTTTTCTCCTGCCATGAACCTCTCACCCAGGTGTACTTAAGGTTTGATAGGCCTTGCATCCTGGTTAAAGTAAATATTTTTTGTAAATATATATAATCTATAATATACCGACAGACAGTCACTTGTAGAACCCGGCGTACTAGCAGCATGGCGTCACACATACGAGCCATTTAAGTGAAACTTCCACGATTTGGTGTGAACACAGCGAGATGGAGTCACCGTGGTGGCCATCTGTACCTTGAGTTACATAACTACACACATGTAAACACACACACAAATAGAGGAGACCATTGCATAAGCTCATAAACAGGTAAATACAACTGCACAATTGAGTGCTTGAATGTACTGTATGGGTACATTTAGGGGATATTATTTTAATTTCATTATTTTTTTGAATCTGTGAATTAATCAGGATTTGTTTTGGACATTACAATGCAAATGTCCACATTTTTATTTAATTCACTCAAATACATTTCCGCAGTACAATCACACAAATGTAGTTTCATTATTTCATGTTTTTCTCTGGTGCATAAATAGGAGCACGTCTGTATTCTCCTCATTTCTTTTTCAGTTTCTATTAGTGGTATTTCTGTACACTGTGGTGTTCAGTAAAATAACAAACATATTGCAACTTTTGTGCGAGGTTATATCAGTTTGGTGAAAATCATTTCAAACCAATCTGGGTATTTTTAGGTGACAATCTGTCAACAACGATGAAAGGGTTCGCTGCAAATTGTGCATGAATCGCTGATACATAAATGCAGCAATCACAAACATTTTGCTTAAAATTGCCGAAGATGTTTGTTTTTTTCATAGCGGTTATTTCTCTGAATGATGGTGTGTGTACCTGAACTGTTGTTGTGACATGGTGCTGTAGTGCAGGTTCAGTCTGGTGATGTGGCCGTCTGTCAGCTCCTGAATAGACGCCTTTTCTCCAGAGGTCTGCTGCAGCTCTGGGTCCACAGCCTGGACCAGCTCCCTGTCCTCAGCTGGCAGCCACATCACCTACACACACACACACACACACACACACGCACACACACACACACACACACACACATGGCACATGATTGTAAACAAACACACATCCATGTATGCACAAAATACACTTTCACCAATTGCAACAAACGGTAAATGAGGAAAAACTACTCTTGAGGTTGTTAAAGCCAGGGTTGGTGGGTTGGGGTTACCTGTGAGGAGTTGATGTGGGCCTGCACCACCTGGAGAGTGGTGTTGATGTATGACTGATAGTAGGGATGTCCGTACGATGGCCTGTGCAGGTCAAACAGCACTAGTTTATCGCTACAGGCCGCCAACTCCAGAAACTGGGCCAGTGAGGGAACAGACTGGTTCTGGGCCTGGGAGCAGTCCGCCTCGGACAGGGACGACACAGTCCCAAAGGGATCCCTCTGTAACAGAGTGCGTTGAAAAAAAGATGCTTAGTCATTCTGAGAATTCATAGAATTGTTTTTATAAAAAAAACTTATTTTGATTTATTTTGATTATTGAAAATCGAAAAAAATTGTATTTAGAAAAAGAAATACTAAATAGAAAAACAATATAAAACTCTTGTTGATGTCCAGTGGTATCCACTGGTATAACACACATTCATTCAACTGTTTTGTTTTACTTGGAGGAACCCATTTACTCTTCACTTTCTCTTACCAGATCATTGTTAGTGCTGTGCTCGTCACAAGAAGTCCAGGTTTACTACTTAACTAGGATGTACTCAGTGTCCTCTTGCAGCAAGAAATACAACACAATTTGGTTGCAAGATGGACATCAAATTTGCTATTAAAACAATAATTTACCTTTGAAAATCTTCCAGTAAATATCGGTAATAGAAAAAACAAGAAGGAGAAGTTACAGTGCATAAAAAGGTGTGACATTGATTGTCCAAGTAGCTGTATCGACGCTCCAAAATTCTCCCTCAACCTAAAGGTAAGGCAGATTTGCATAGTTGCTGTAGAGATGGAATTTGGAGATTTGTTTTCATCCAGCAACAATACTGTAATTTAGTGTTGAGAAGAAAAAAGCAAAACAAATGTACATATATACAACAGTCATACCTGTTTTAACTTTACAGTTATCTCTAAGTGATCTTTACATAACATCAAAGTTCTAACATCTTCAAGGTTACAATGTCAGTCATTCCATTACACTTCACTTCTGTTGTGCTGCATATTTTTGAGCGAACAAAGCCACGTCCCGAACTAAAAGCCTCACCGATAAGAACCAGTCGCCAGCATTCAGCTGCTGCAGCTCGGCCCAGGTGAACATGGAGGCGTCGGCGTGTGTTCGGTTTGGGAAAACCTCTGCGACATTGGTGGTTCTGCTCAGAGTGGAGTCGTGCATCAGGAAGGGAACCCCATCATAACTGCAGACAGAGGTGGGAAGGCCAGGACACAGAAATGAGAGGTAAGTGGTGATAAGGTGAGTAGGAATAAAAGGATAGGTGAGCAGAGAGGAGGAGTGAAAAGGAAAGGAAATGACTCAAGGAAGGGGGACGAGATGACGAGAGGATGATTAAAGTCACCAATAAGCATTTAACTCTATAAGTCTCTGTTCACCCCTCAAAACACCTGCAATCAAATTAAAGCCGTCTCACACACAAACACACAGGAACTACCAGTCTCGCCGGGGTCACCAGCAGCATGGGATTAAGCTATCCCGCTGCTAATCCGCCCTGTTTTCAGGCTGTAAAACAGTGTGCTAACCCCAGCTGCTGTGGGCTAATGGCAGGGCTAACGGCTAACTGGATTAGCATGGCAGTAATCACCTTAGTGCCCACTAAGCACGCTAGCGTGCTAGCGTCTGTTCTGTACAATTAGCACCAGACTGACTGCTCTGATAATTGTACATGTTGCAATCTCTCGTGTTATTCAACACTGTTAATGATTTCATAATTTCACTTTTGGTGAAACATAATAGGGTCACATTGAAACAATTTGTTTGATTTTAAAGATTGATTTTTAGGGCTTTTATTTCTTTTATTAGAGCTCCTGGAAAATGACAGAAAAGTACTGTACTTAAGAACAAATATGAGGTAGTAAGAACTTAACTTGAGTATTTTTCTTTTGTGCAACTTTATACTTCTACTCCACAATGTCTCAGAGGTAAATATTGTACTTTTTACACCACTAAATTTGACAGCTTTACTGACTTTGCAGATTACAATTTTTCATAACTTTCTTGCCCAGTGAAAACCAAGTATCTCCAGATGTGTTGATGCTGAGTGTTTGTGATAAACTGAAGGATGAAGTGTTCCTTTATGTGTTCATGATAATCCTCCTACTTCTTCATCTAAATAAACTCTTTAAAAAGCCTCTTGGATCAGCTGGAAAATGCATCGTCACAAAGCTGAAAACAGGACTGTTGATCTGTTTAGAGATACGAGGTTCTCACAGGACAGAGATGCTACAAACATGATGATCTTATAGAATACGATGCATTGATGTAGATTAAACCAACCAACAGGATATAAAGGAGTTAAAACATCTACAGCAGTGAAATGTAACATACACATTAATGCAGTAATATTAATCTACATTATATAATATAGTAAAACGCTGACTGGAAACATTTAACTGGACAATGAATACTTTTACTTGTAGATGAGTATTTTCACAGTGTGGTACTAGTACTTTTACTGAAGTAAATGATCTGACTACTTCTTCCGTCATTGTTTATGACAGATACAAGACTGAAAACACACACCAAGTTGATCTATTTACTATTATTTATCACTATTTTACATACACACACACACACACACACACACACACACACACACACACACACACACGTGAGAGCCGTTACTACCTGATGGTGACGTCAGTCTCCAGTCCTTCTCCTCCAGCTTCCACTGCCTTCTCAAACGACATCACAGTATTCTCTGGAGCAAGCTACACACGAAAAACGTTCCCAGAATGAGAAATAATAAATACCATAACCAATAAGCTGTCACGGTTCGGTTCAGTCTCACCATCGGAGCTCCTCTGTGTCCGATGAGTGTTGGGGCGGGTCCCAGCGTTCCTGCCTCTTTAATGCAGGGCGAGTACATTCCCAGAGGGACCAGGTAGAGGGAGAAGAGCACGGACAGGTAGAGTCCCAGAACAGCCACCTGACGCACTGAAGAACACACAAAGAAAAAAAAAACTTTGACTTGACAGACTTTTTATTACTTTCTTAACACAAGTTATGTTTGGCTTTTTTCAATCCAGGAATTAAAGGAGCAGTATGTTGGATTCAGGTGGATCTATTGGCAGTATATATATATATATATATATATATAAATATATAATATTCATAACTGCGTTTTTGTTCATGTACATTCACCCGAAACTAAGAGCTTCTTATGAAATCTGTGCATCACATCATGTTTTATAATCAACTATGCACAAAAAACACACACATACACACACACACACACAAGTCCATCTGCTACGCACACACAAACAAATCCAAAAAACAACAACAGATACACCTCGGAGCCTCTAAATATGGCCCAGTTGAGGGCTGAAGGAGTGTGGTAGCTGGAGTAGAAACTTACAGTAATCAGGATGAGATACAGTAAATCTGTCCTGATAGGATCAGCGTGGTGGTCTGGTGCTGATCAGCAGCCAAATGTCTGGTTTGGAATCAAATCCGCCCGGGAAGCTACATGTCTTCCATAAAGTATCTTGACCATTATCATTGATATTAACAATTGTTCAAACATACAACGGGAAACATGAAGTTCATCCACAATACATTGTCTTTGAAAAACGAATATTTACCAAACACTACATTTCTGCAGCAGGGTGAGAACTTAAACCACTGAGGTCACCAAATTAAGATTTCTTAGGGCGTTATTATTTAAAAAGCTTATTCATATGTAAATGCCAACCACCCTAAATGTGGAGCTTTGACTGTTCTGTTCCCTTTAGCTGACTTACATACTATAAGTTCTATACAGCATCTACTTATATCACTAAAGGACATAGTGAAAGGATAAGAAGGGCTCAGGGCTGATTGATGCAATCAAATAAATCAGTGGCAGTGTGAAAACTGGTACTGCTTATTAATCAACAAACTATATCGTGATATTGATTATGTTCCCTGTGCTACTGAGCAAAGCAATGTACTGCTGTGGATGGAGCAGCACCAAAACGTATTGTAGACACCTTAAAAAAATCCCTATTAGTTGAAGTGTAGGCTATATTTAGATTATTATCACTGCCTTACCTTGCTGTCAGACAGCCCTGTCCGACTGAAGCTGTTATCGATGCTCTCTTCAAAGCCATCAGACTCCATTGACAAAAACAGTCATTTTACCTCCCAGAACACAGAGGTTGCTGTTCTACCGCTGCCTCGATCGGTTTGTTTGTTTGCATTATTGTGTGACTGTGGTAAATCTGAACTGATCCTTTAAAACACCAAAGAAATAAAACATAACACAAGAAACACAAGCAGACTAAGTGACCAAGGCAGCAGTAGACCAGCAACTCCCGTGCGATGTCAAATGACTGTTTTTGTCAAATGAGTCTGGTACTCCTGTCTGTGTTTCCATACTGGAGGCGTGCTGGCCCACTGACTGTGGATAAGTACCTCATACTTCAACAGATCCAGACTGTCCCTTTAAAGCTCTGTTTCCAGCTTAAGCCAGCATCCATGAAACTACAGGCCTGGGTGGGCGTTCAGGTCAATACAGCAGAACAGGCGAGAACTACAGTATATTACATCCTGAGCAAATCTCTCACTTGTCACTTATCTCCTGCCAGGAGAGACCCCCGACATGACTCAGCATCACTCTACCCTGCTGAATCACCATGGCAACCAGGGACAGTATCCATGGAGACCAGAGAGACGTACAGGTCAGAGCCAATGCAGTGGAGAGGGAGTCCCAAAGACAAGTAAGAAGAAACAGACTGCAGCCAAATGGGCAGGTCGGGTAAGAAAAGAGGTCAGAAGGATGAAGAGGCAGAAAAAAACGGAGTGAATGAAAGAAGGCAGAAAGCATCCGGGAGACGAGGGGAGGAGCAGGACAAGGAGAAGGAGACATTGATTTTCTGTTAAGAGGAAGAGGAGGGGGAGAAAGAAGGTTGGCAGGGAGGTCTACAGCTGTACAATGCATGCCAGACAAGTGCGTCGCGGTGCTGACGGGTACGTTTGATTTTTAGAAAAGCTTTATCCCCGGCGGGCGGGGCAGCTCAGAGCCACTACAACTGAAGCCTTTAAGGCCATAACCCTCATTACAACAAGGTCCTTCAGCTCTTTGTTCCCTCCAGCTACAGCTGTTGGTTGTGCTGGTCTCTAGATTTATATTCTCTATAACTTTCCCCAACATCAACAATTTACATGTACAAAGAGATTAAATTTAACAATAAAAACTGCTAATGGACTAAATTAGTATAATAACCAAAGCAACCGATTAATCGACTAATAAATCTAAAGATTAAATGTTTGGTGAGATACATCTACAACCGCTGCGACTGGCCATTCTTACAGAGAGCCAAAGTCCCACCTCACTTCCAAAAGATCAAACACTCATCAGCTTGCTTACCTCTCTTGTTCATGCGGAAGAAGTGCAACGCTATTGGCCAGGAGAGGATGGCCATTAGTGAGACCGCGGACACGTGGAGGAACGGCGCAGTCACCTAACGATACAAAGAGGAAGAGAACGACAAGGTAAAAGACAGAGGATTGGCCAAAATGTCAATCATAAAGCACAAATTACCGTATGTGTAAACACACACAAAGATCAGAAATTCTCTCCTGTGATTGGCTGGTGTGTCAGGATCCACTAACCTGCAGCGAGAGAAGGAGAGTCTTCCATTCTTTGCTCCAGAGGTCAGACAAGATGGCGGTGGCTGTGACGGAGAAGGCCAACGCCACCACGATGCCAGTCTGACAAAAACACAGGAGGAGATAACACCACATGTGATATCTTGATGTGTCAGTGTTTGTGTTTATTCATAAGCATTATTATTATTATTATTATTATTATTATCATTACCTTGTGGCTCCAGTGAAGGTACAGCCTCTGTCCCTCAGAGAGCAGACACACTGCCAGCACCTGAACAACGTTTAGATATTCATCAAAACATGTTACATAAAGCTGCTTCTAGTCACTTGCTTCTCTATTGTTTGTATTTTGTTTTATTTGCACATGTCTACACTCTTTGTACTTTGTACTGCAACTGCTGCAAAACAATTTCCCTCAAGATGAATAAAGTACCGTCTTATCTTGTGTCAGTTTGGACCGGTCCAGAACATATGCGCTTTCTACTCAACTAGAGCAAACTCAACATTGTTAAATCACAATTTATTTTTGATGAACAATGAAATCCTTGGCTTTTTATGCCTTAGCAGATTCAAGAAAACTTGTTGATATCTTAACACTGCTGACAATATAGTTATACGCCTCAGACTTCTCTCTCTAAGGACAAAGTAAACTCTGTTGGTGCAGATTTCTCCTTCACTTCATGTGTGTGCGTTTTTCTGTATCATATGATAAGTCTAACTGAATATTTGTCCCCTCAAGCAAGGGGACAGGTACCTAAATACCGCACAAGGGTTTGGGGATAGATTTGTCTCAGTTTCATGAGTGAAGAGATGAACAATTGTTGTGTAAATAAAACACCATCCACAAATACAGAAAAAGATTTCTAAACTCAGAAAAAGATTTTGCAATATAAAAACAGATCTGAGTTCTTCCTGTTCCGATGTGAGGGTCCCGGGACAGAGGATGTCGCATGTTTACAGATTGTAAAGCCCTCTGAGGCAAATTTGTGATTTTGGGCTATACAAAATAAATTGAATAAATTGAGACTCATATTTTAGAAAAGATGATTATTCTGAAACAATAAATGAAAAATGTACTGATGTGTTGCCTGGCCCTCAGTTGCTACAGAACTAATGAAGATGGGATCACAAATGCTTTTCATTTATTTGTAAATTAATTTCACGTACTCAGATGTTATTTTGGTGGAATAAAAATTGTAATTTTACAAATCTTTTTTTGTATTTGTGGAAGGTGCTTTTTATTTACAGATTGCACATTGACACACGGATTGTCGATCTGTTCACACAAATAATATTGAGACAAATCTTTCTCCATACAAAGGGCTGGGAGGGTTGATGGCTAATGAAACACATTGATTCTAACACTCTGGTTTAATAAAAATAAAAATAAAATAAAGTGGCACTACTGCTCATCTCTGATAGAACAGAAGCAGAGAGGCCAAGTGTCTTGCTCAAGAACACTACAGTAGCTGTAAAGAGATGACAAAGGTTTTCTCAGCACATGGACTCTAGACAGGCTGAAACCCCATCAGTGTCCGTACCAACAGTAGAGCGATGTATGTGAAGAGAGCAGCAGCGACCACCAGCAGGACCAGAGACCAGGGAAACCAGAAGCCCAGAGTCCCAAAGTTGAACCTGAAGAGGCACGAGAACAACCAGTGTGCTTCATGATGTCAATCAAGTTTGAATGATGGGTTGGTCTTGTCATGCATTCATGTATTCACTATTAGGATGAGCAATAGAGTGCTGCAGGGATGATGGATTCTTGTTGGCCAACCCAGAAGTTAGAATCTCACTTTTTTCCTCGACAAAAAAGGATAAAAACATTTTTACATTGGATTTTGTATTGCAGAAAATGAGCTCTGTGGCAAACACAAGATAATATTCTCAAATGAACACCACTTTTATGATTTCTGAAGCATAAATACAACTGACTGAAGTGAAAAGCTAACATTAGGCTATAAACAAACTACACCACGGTGGCATGACTTCAACGTCACAACCACGAAGCTTCCAACTGGTAATTTGATTTCACGTGAAAACCTGTGTAGTCTCATTTAGCCACTAATTAGCAACCGCCGTGCGTAAGAAACATTAAAGCTTCAACTAATTCATGAGAGGAGTATCTACTGATGTACGGTATCTTGTATCATAGAACGAAACGCTAAAATCTCTTCAGCTTGTTTTAACCACAGACCATATCTCAGGCATCTAACCAAAAACCTTTCAATGAACACACTGACTTCGATACGAGGGAACCGGAAGTAGGAAACTGCTGACTCATTTCCTAGGTTTAGGACTCATACCTGCACCACTAACTCATTCCTTTATGTCTTAGACAACTCACCATAACAAGTATCATGGACATAATCCTTACATTCTGTATTAACCATGCAGTCTACACTACTACCTCAGGTTTCATACTGTATACTCTACATACACATCTACAGGTATCTGCTACCCCACTATATTTGATGACACAATCATTGTATATTTTGTATATATTTTGTATTGCACCATATTTGCATCTTACTGTTATCTAGTCTTTTTTAGTTTTTTTTGCACCTATCGTTATCTTGCATTTACACTCTTCCTACTTTGCAGTGCAACTGCTGCACAGCAATTCCCCCCGGGATAAATAAAGTTTTCTATCGTATCCCCATCACAATGACAACATGCCCTTCAAATCACAAAAACACTCCGACCAACAGGAGCCTGTGTGTGTACGTGCCAACTTGCATGTGCTGTGCTGTCACCCACCAGTCGAAGTCGATGTAGTCGTTCTGAGCTTCACTCCAGAAATAGAGGAACAAAAAACTCAGGAAGAAGGTGAGGATCAGGAGGCCAAAACTGCCACACTCCACCTGTAACACACACACACACACACACACACACACACAGAAGTCATGTATTATGTTTGGTCTAACCAAACTACCCACTTCTACCTGGAGAAAGTAGTTTTTAACGCTGTGCTCCAGTGTTCTGGGAAAATAAAGTTTTCTCATGTTAACAGGATTTACAGTCATAATGGGACTCCCTGATGACACAATCTGGCAGATACAGAGGAGCTCAATCATATTACCGAGTGCATATGGAAGCAGTATATATTGATAGAAGCTGACAGAGTGAATATGTGCTCATATTTTTCAGAGAAAAGCAGTAACGCACTGTTGGAGTCAGCAGGACGAAAAATCTGTCTGGGGAATCAATACTCTCTGCTCGATCAGCAAACCGACCAAACTCAACTCACTGCTGTGTGTGAGTGTGTGTGTGTGTGTGTGTTTGTGTGTGTGTTTACCCTGCTGCAGCAGCACTCTCCTGGCTGGGCCCGGGCTCTCTGGTATCGTCTCCATTGGCAGCCATAGAGGCCGGCCAGGCAGGACACAAACGGCTGGTGTTCGTACCTGATACAGTCAATTAGGAATTCAGATTATTGAAAAGAAAGAATAAAGACTAGCTCCATGTTTGATACTTTAAAAGAAGTTGAGTAAACCTTGCTGATCTGAAATGTGCAGGAGCTTCTCTAGTGCAGTGTTTTTCAACCTTTTCTGAGCCGAGGCACATTTTTTACATTAAAAAGATCCCGCGGCACACCAACAAACAAAAACGTTACAAAATGACACCTTTTAGTATAATACAGCATATCTACAGGGGTGTCAAACTCAATCCCAGAGAGGGACAAAATAACAAATTGTGACTACGTTGAGGGCCAAATAGAGTCAGCATTTAATAAACAGGATAGAAGGGATATTGGACAGAGTGCAAAAAGAATACATGTTTAGGTAGGCTACATTATTTTATGCATACGTACCAGAGCCAGATGTTTGGCATCTTTTCTTGGCTGCCAGTTCATTAATATCTTATGGGTTAGGTTCTGTGCTGTGGAAACCCTCAAGATGGAGTGAAAGTGTGCATCAGTGAGACTCCTGTGTGGGTTTGTGTTCCTCTTCATCACAGAGAACAGCTGCTCACACAGGTATGTGCTTCCAAACATGCAGAGCGTTTGAGCAGCATGTAGGCGGAGTTAAGGCAATGTTTCAGGGCTGAAGCTTGGAAACTGTGCTGCGCCCTCAGAGTCATACTTTGCATTGAGTGTCATTACACTGGAGGTCTATCAGCTCCACGGGTGCTCTTTCCACGTCAACTGCAAACGGATTGCTGAGCAGTTCAAATTGACATTTCTGAGCTCCAAAGTCGGCAAATCGGCGAGTGAACCCAGTTTATCAGCAAAATGCGCAGTCGGGAACACAGCGGTGGAGACTTTCACTGCATCACGCGTCTGTGATCACACGTCCCCGTCCCTGAAGCTGCAGCTTTAGCGCAGTGAGATGCTTCGTTATGTTGCACAAAAAGCCAGCTAACATCGCCACTTCTCGTCCCGGAGCTCTGTGGTGTGGCGGGCCAGTTATGATGAACATATATTTTCTGGCGGGCCGTTGTACCGAGGAACGGATATATGCTGACAATTTAATGACAAGTCTCTAAATGTGTTGATGCTTATAGGCTTTTCATCTGGGTTATGTTGTCCAGGGCCCAGTTCAGAGTCTGCATTTTTCCTTTTCAAATATTTCTCCATCGCTGTTGGTCTTGTCATCGCAACCTCTCCCGCATTTCATTCTACTGTCCTAAATGAACACACGGTCATTATTGCGCTACCTACTACCACCCACTGGCATTGAAGAGTATTTATTACTTAGCCAGCCGCTATATTGCAGCTCAGACGCTCAACAACGGCAAAGTATTTGCAACAACTCAGTATTGTTTTTTTGGACTCATTAAGTGAAATTGGACATTTTCCCACAGCACACCTGGTGATCTCTCACGGCACAGCGGTTGAAAATCACTGCTCTAGTGAACCGATTGAGCTGCTGTCAGCTTCAGGTTCATCTACATTAAAGCTTATCGACCGAATAGTTCTGAGTCAGGACCTCCGGCTATTTGAAGCATGCAGCTTGTGAAAAATAAAGAGTTCAATGATTCAGATTCCATCAGGATGTCTTTCCTTCTGCTGCTGATCAGGTTGCATCAACATTAAGTAGGCTGCCACTCAAAACTTACTTTTTGTTACTTTTAACTGTAGTCACAAACGTTGAGTTTAATCAGTCAGGTTTACCAAGTAGGTTTTCCCCAACAAGGCATTTGCATTGGTGGTTTGGTGCATAAAATAAAATATAGTCAGAGAAAATGATAATCAAGTACAACAGTCAAGAAACATAAATAAAATGAATCATTTGACAATACAAAAAAACAAAACAATGTTGAAATGAAATATTTTTTTAAATATGTAAAAGATTGTAAAAGAAAATGAGAGATGTACAGTATGAAGTATAGAGACTAAGGATGACATAAGGGTTCAGATTCAATAATCACATATGATCCCGTATTTGACAAAATGCAACCAACTCTCAAACTTTCATAAACATACAGTCACACCAAATTGCCAGAAAAATAAGAAAATAGCCCTCTGTAGATGATGCGTTCAGGTTCCCTCTGTACAGAAGTCTCCTTTTTTTCAGTCTATTTTAAATAACTGTCACAAACAAAAGTGTCTTTAAGGCAGCGTGAATACATATGAAATCTGATGACGGCGTAGGTGTGTGTTGTTCTGTACCTCTGCAGCAGCTGCCGCCGCACCACCTTTAGCTTCCCCAGCTTCAGTCTGGTCACAGGCATACACTCACCCACAGCCCGGCATCACAGAGAGAGACAGAGAGAGAGAGAGAGAGAGAGAGAGAGAGAGAGAGAGAGAGAGAGAGAGAGAGAGGGAGAGAGAGAGAGAGAGAGAGAGAGAGAGAGAGAGAGAGAGAGAGAGAGAGAGAGAGAGAGAGAGAGAGAGGAGGAAGGAGGACAATGGGACACAGGAGAGAGAGGAAAAACAGGCACCACCTTCACCTGGAGGGAGAGAAGAAGGTTTGAATCAATTTAAAATGCATTTATAGGAAAACTAGACTCAGCAGGACTTGTGTGTGGGTGTGGGTGTGTGTGTGTGTGTGTAGTCCTGGTTGTATTAATGTGGCCTGTTTAAACTAACCCAGAAGCCACAGAGACTCTCTCAGAAATACACAGTGACCTACATCTGGTAAGATTGTGAATACACAAGTTAACAGACCCCAAAAGAAGTCAGTCAGCAAACCGGCCAAACGAGCAACGTCCTGGACTCCACACTAGAGTTAAAACAGCTGATTAAAAACTGACATCATAAGAAAACCAGCAACAAGTATGATCCTCGATTCATCATTTAAGTCATTGTTTGTTTTAATACTATAAAGCTACAGTCGCTGACTTTAATAAAAATAACTTTGTGTCATATTTGCTCAAACTGTCACTATATTCCAATGATATATGAAAAAAAATGGGGTTCCTCTTCCTCCTTTTAGAGCTCCTAATGGCATTTGCAAGAGTCCTCGCCTGAAAGTAAAACAACCAATCAGAGCAGAGTCTCCAACACTGCAACACTGCTCGGAGCAATCTTCCTCATTTTACAGCGAAACGCTACACTAAAATATGTTTCTGAAATCTTATGATGTGAGAAATAGGCAACGCAGTGAGAGAATCTTGATTCATATTTGATCGGCGCTTCAGAGACTGCTCACCTCTGATTGGCTGTTTTCCTTTTTCTCCCAGATGTGCCATTAACACCTCAACAACAACAACAACGAGAGCAGCAGTGTGGTGTATTAAGATTAGTTATGCAACAGCTCTACATACACTGCTCCACTGAACCAGATAGCACGGCCACCCGGCTCATCATCAGAGAAGCAGGCCACCATCAGCCAATGAGTCGGAGCCTTCAGTGGAACAGCCCATGTTGGCTAACACGTTATTATCAAGGTAAGCGTGGAACCAGTTTAATCCCAGTCACACTACGCCACTAAGCTGTGCAACATTTAAACCAACATCTCATCAACATAATCACAAGTTTGTTCAACTTTGATCAAACACATTCAAATGCAGTGGCGGGCCGTCAGGGCCTGCAAGGCATTCTCTGCTTTTATCCAATCAGATTTCACCTCTGTGTCTCTCGGTAAGAACAGAGGCAGAGGCCTGCAGAGTCTCAGGTGCATCCAGTGCAGTTTAAGTGAATGGGGATGATATTGTTGATTGTCATAGTGTTCAACCAATCAGATCTTTAGTTTGACATGTTGGACGTATTCTTTGAGGTGTCAGCGCCTGCGAGCCGGCCTATAATGACGTCAGCATTACGTGCAGCTCAGTGTCCATGCAGCTCTGCCACGAGTGCAGAGTGTGCTGTGATTGGTCAGTGGGCGAGCACGTGACTATCGTGAAATGAAACAGCAGAGGCATGTCGGGTAGTGAATCACATCACGTGATGCAGCTCAGCCAATCAAATATGGGCATTCTGACTGAGTGAGAAGTACCACACACCATGACAAAGGGGGCTGAGACGAGGAAAGACACTGCAGAGCAGTACGTACAATGCTCAAGTTGTGAAAGTAAAATCATAAGACGATCTCGTTGGGCCGTGACTTGTCATTAAGGAGTGATGATGGGTCCCACAGCCAGACCAGCTGAGACCCACTGTCCTCCATGAGCGCAGAAAACATTATATTTTCCTAAATATAAGCTTCTGAATTTTCCAGATGCTCTAGTACTATTCAAACGTATTGCAAGTCTTGTACCGAAGGTTACGTAGATAGGTACGTGCATGTAATACGTACATAGGTACGTACATTTAATACGTACATAGTTACAGCCTTAGAAACTGATAACTGTGGTGCCATCATGTGGTTATAAGGTGGTATTTCAGCTGCAGGACAACAGTGAAGGCCTAGGTATAAAATGCACGGCCCGCCACTGTTCAAATGTAAAATGAATTAGGGCTGCCTGTCTTTATGACATGTCCTCATGTTGTTTGTTTCATCTGACCAATAGTCCAAAACCCAAAGATATTCAATTTAACAACTAGAAGGACACGCTCCAGCGTGTAATGGCTGAATGGTAAAAAGTTGCATGAAAATCGGCCGACAGTTTTTCCGTAATCCTGCTGACAAACAAACAAACGGAGTAGAAAACACAACGTCTTTGACGGATGTAATCTTAGAAAACAAAAAGTAGCATTGGGGAAGCTGGAGGGAGACCATTTTGGAACGATTGCTTGATGGGTTAAAACAATCAATTATCAAAATTGTTGCCAACTCTCAAAGGATTAATTGTTTCAGCTCTAAAGTGATTCCAGATCCCAGATCAGACCACTGAGCCTCTTCCTTTCTGTAGTTCTACTTACTTACGGTGGACCTGATGCACAGACCCAGATAGGTGACCTAAATCCCATTAACGTAGGTCCAACAGAAGCTTTTAAACTGTGTGCCAAAGTTAAGAACAAAGAGTTCAGCGGCTTAACACACACTCTCCATCATAAATACTCCATTGACCAGGATACAGTTGTAGGGCTGACAGATGGTAAGCACACTGTTGTGTTGATCCCAAACACACAGACTATGTTGTTCCGCTACATCAGGACTGAATAACAGATGTCTCTTCAAACAGCAACAACATAATCTACCACTGAAGACAGTTTTTGTGTTTGAATACCAATAGTACCAACAATTTTAAATCCAACAGCAAAGTCCAAAGTGATCTTCTGTTTTTGGCAAATACAAACTATAGAAATTAAATTAATGAATAATAATAAAACCATCATCTTTGGTAGCGCGAGTCATTATGCTACTATATGTACCGTGTTCTCTGATATCATTAAAGTATACAGACATCATCAAAGTACTCATTACAGACCACATTACCTCTACTAAAGCAAATGTAAGTGTATCATCTTCCTGCTGAACTCTACTTTTTTGAAGTCAATAGTTCTGTTTATATCGAGAATCTTATTACTGAAATAGGTCAATAAAAAGGCCAGATAAAGTGTTTTCTAATGCAGCTTTGCACATCTGCTTATTTATTTATTGAATTGTTTTTGTATTAATGTCATTTTATGTGAGTCTATGTTATGTTGTTTTTGAGACCCTTACTGAAGACAGCTTTATATCATTATGTGAAAGACAATAAAGTTTTATGAATGTTTTTATGAACATTTAGTATTTAATAACTACTCTACTATATACTATAGGTTTGTTTGCACAGCCTGCAGTTTGATCCAAATCCATGTAGTTGTGACCTGTTTTGATAAATACTCTGGTATATAATGATCCATTCATTGACTGACGTCTGCCACCAGTCAACCAGCCGAGTCATCACACGGCCGCCATGGCAACGGTGACATCAGATCTGTTATTATTGCTGCAGCGAGGAGGAAGGGAGGCGGGGCGATAAAGAAGAAAGAGCCAGATGGAGCAATGAAAGAGAGAGAAATCACCATCAGGAGTCATCACAGCTGTTCTGCACACATTCTGCAGGGTGAGACGTGGAGCACTGTCTCTACACGATGACCCACACACACTCATGGGGAATGGATGGATGTTAGGGTGAGCACACAGCAGGATAAAGTAATATGAGAGAGAGAGAGAGAGAGAGAGAGAGAGAGAGAGAGAGAGAGAGAGAATGTCACCGCTATTATTTCTATCTTCCTTCATGATGCACAGGACTAACGTTTAAGTCAAAGGGCTGGTTGGCCACTGCAGCGACACGAGGGTCGACACCACCAAATACCCATTTTGGCTTTCAGCTTTTCACTTTGGTTTTCGTTACTCTTTAAAGTCAACTGCCATCAATGTTGTGTCCATCTGGAGTTGTGTTTTAACTGCAATCACGGATCAGAGTCACAGATCGGATCAACACAACAGAAAAAAGAGAGCAAATAGAACTGTTAGAGATCCCTGATCACGTTTCTTTTGCCGCTGATACTAATCTCTGATCCTTGATGATCCATATCGGCAGATACAGATCCCTTTGTTGTTTGATTATAGCAGCTGGTCTCTACAAGGATCCAGACTATTTTTTTGCCATCGTCCCAAAAATGATTTCACACTACATTTTACGAGATTACATGTAAACACATCATGTTAACGTTATAATTTACCTTCACCCAATACTCATTCTCACTGAACAGAGCCTGAACGCATCATAATGTAACAGAACTGAACCTTCGTCCGTTAGCGGTGCTGCTAACGTTAACTAGCTCTGCTCCTGTCAATTTAAACACGGACTGGTTGTTTACAATGTAACATTACCAGATTACATTTTTGATTAATCTACGGATTATTTTGCGATCATAATAAATCGTCTTGTCTTTAAAGTATCAGAAAATAGTCAAAAATGAATGAAGTATTAAGATTGTTAGTTTTATTTGACCAACAGTCCAACACCTTAAGATTTTTGTGATTTACTATGAAGAATGACAAAGTCAAACATCAAGACCTCACATTTAAGGAGCTGGAAACAGTGAGAAATGACTGAAAGGATAAATCTAATTAATCAGATTATTGCGTAACACTTCCATCTTTAAACATTTTGTAAAATAAGGTGGTACCACTTAAAAATAAAAGACAAGTCATTTTGCAATGGTGGTATTCCTATTAATTAGTTTTGTATTAAATGCTTTGTCCACTTGGATGTTTAAAGTCACCCACACGTCTCCCACCTGCTCCCTCTGACCGGTTAATTAGTGGAGCGTATCCTGATGTGACGTTGAAGGTGACCGCACAGAAACTTTAAATCTCAACAGCCGTTTTGTCACTGAGCCGGAAGCCGGTGTCGTTAAGTGTACGTACAAGGTTATTTAAAAAAAGACCAGTGATCTGAAGTCACTTCAGGCATTTTTTTAAATT